CGTATTTGAATCTGTAGATTGAGTAAGGCAGATTACTTGCTCCAGTGTGAGTGGACATCATCCAGTCTGTTGAGGACCTACACAGAACAAAAAGGCAGAGAAAGGGAAAATTTGTTCTTTGCCTGACAGCTTGACTTGGGGTATTGACCTTTTCCTACCCTCTGTCTGGGACTTATGCCATTAGCACTTCTGGTTCTTAGGCCTTTGGACTTGGACTATTTTTTAATTTTTTAATTAATTTTTGAGTTGGAGTCTCTGTTGCTCAGGCTGGAGTACAGTGGCACAATCACAGTTCCCTGCAGCCTTGATCTCCTGGGATCAGAGGATTTTCTGCTTCAGCCTTTCCAGTGCCTGGGACTACACGTATGTGCCACCACACTCAGCTAATTTTTTAGATCTTGCTGTGTTGCCCAGGCTGCTCCCAAACTCCTGGCCCCAAGTGATACTCTTGCTTCAGCCTTCCCGAGGTGCTGTGATTACAGACGTGAGCTACCATGCCCTGTCTTCAACTAGAATTTATACCATCAGTTCTCCTGGTTTTCAGGCCTTTAGCTTCAGACTGAAACTATACCCCTGGCTTTCTTGGGTCTTCAGCTTACAGATAATAGATTTTGGGACTTCTCAGCCTCCATAATTGCATGAGCCAATGCCTTTAATAAATAATGTATATATTTTATCGGCTCTGTTTCTCTGGAGAACCCTGACCCGTGTGCCTACTGACTCTGAAACCCTGAGGGAAGGAGGACAGCATCTATGGCTCAGCAAACCCTCCAGGTGATTCTAATATATGCTTATGTTTGAAACCACTGTTCTAGTGCTACAATGGTCTTCTCTCTGGCCTTGAGATGCTAAGGTTTTCTCTCTCCTCAAGGCCTTTATACCAGTAGTTCCTGTTTCCAGAATTCTCTTCATGTTGGCCTTTGTATGGAAACCCCTTTTCATTGTTCAGGGCTCAGCTGAATATCACTGATTCAGGAGAGTCTTTTAACCCTCCTCAGCCTCCCATAACCTTGTTTCATTTCCTTTGTAACTAGTTTCCATTTGCCGCATTCTGCGGTGACCTTCCTTGTTTATTTATTTATTTTCTTCTACTAGAATAAAAGCCTCAACAGAGCAGGTACCTTTTCTCTTGTACACTCTGCATCCCCAGGCCTTAGAAAAGTCCTGGCCTGGCCGGCGCCGTGGCTCATGCCTATAACCCTCGCACTTTGGGAGGCTGAGGTAAGTGAATTGCTGAGCCCATGGGTTTGAGACCAGCCTGGGCAGCTTGTTGAGACCTTATCTATACAATAAATTAAAAAAAAAATTAGCTGGGCGTGGTGGTACGTGCCTGTAGTTCTAGCTCCTTGGAAGGCTGAGGCAGATGGATCACCTGAGCCTAGCAGGTCGAGGCTGTGGTGGCTGTGAGTGTGTCACTGCACTCCAGCCTGGGTGACAGTGAGACTTCAACTCAAGAAGAAGAAAAAAGTCCTGGCCTGTAGTTGATAATCAATACATATTTGTTGCACAAATGATTTATTAATTTCCCAGTGAAGAAAAGGACTAATAATGTGACTTGGTGAAGATCAAATACTTATAAGTGAGCAGCTAAAGCTTCACCCTAAAAGTCTCAGACCAGGTCTAGTGATTTTCTTATAACCCCATGAAAGCAAAATGACTTCATCTTGTATTTTTCTAGTTTGCAAGAGCAGCTGTATCCTTAAAGAACCTGAGAATCTCAGACTTGAAAGAAGTTTGGCACTTAACTGGTTCAGCCCTCATCAGATGTGTGGATTTCTTCATTGTCCTAGGATGGGTGTTTGCTATCTTCTGCTTGAATATTCCAGGAAGTTGGGGAGTGACTACTTTGATGAGATTGTCAGTTCCATTTAAATGGCCCTATTTGAAATGTATCTCTATGCCTCTCTCACCCATGATCTTTGTTCTTCCCTGTGGTGCTACATAGACTGTAAAATGGACCTTATCTTGTCATAACCACATATTCAACTTCCTCTTACTTCCTCTCATGTGTCAGTGAAAAAAACAGACACTTTGGAGTCAGAAAGACCTACACTGATCTCACCTATTGACCTTGAAGTTACTTTCTTTGCAGTGCCTGGAATTTAATTATTATTATTATTACTACTAGTTAGTCTTAAATCTACACAACATTTTGGTTAATTTTTCTGGGTTTGATTCCCAGAGGCAGTGGCCTTCTTTTTTTTTTTGAGTTGGAGTCTCACTGTCGCCCAGACTGGAGTGCAGTGGCCGCTT